AGTTTACACTAGAAAGCTGGTTTATATAGCATATCAGAATTTTGTGAATAACCATTAATTAAATTTTGTTTTGGCTTTTAGATATTTATAATTAAGAAATAAATTTAAATTAATAAAAAAAAATATGTGATAAAATTATCTATGAAACTTTCATAGGCGTTTGTTTGAATTTTTTAAAACAAATTTATTTAATTAATTTTATGTGTATAATTTATTAATCTTGCTTGAAAGTAAAATTTTCCCTCTTTCTAAAACATACAAACACGTATTTCCCGAGTTTTTTTTTTAAGTATATTGAGTCTAAATTAGGCAGTTCTATTAATTTTATCATACTAGGTCTTGCATTAAAATGTTTGATTTTTTGTTGTTTTTTGTTTGTTTGGTTTTTTTGTTGTTGTAAATATATTTTTTTCCTTTTAATTCAGTATAAAAGCTGCAGATTAAGACAAAATCGTATTTGTCTTCTTGTGCACATCTGGGTAGAGGTATTTAAACAATCATTCTAACTAGAATGAGACACAATGTGAGTTGCCTTAAGTCAGACAACGCTCAGTGTTCCTGTGGATATACCAATGAAAACACTGAACACTTTTTTTTGTATTGTAAGAATTATGCTGAAATAAGAGCAGAATTATTTCACACTATAAGAAATAACAAAGGAACAATAGACCTTGACACAATTCAAACTTGGGACAACAAAATAATATGAACATAGTTAAAGCCGTACACAAATATATTAAAAAGTCGAAAAGATTTTTATGAATAATCAGCGTAACCATTCTGTATCTATTACAACCCCTTTTTTTTCTTTATTTGCACCCCCAATCCTTTTCTTATTTCCCTGCACTTTCTTTTGGAATTGTACATTTGTTGGTTGTACATCACGTGTATATGTATATGTCATTTTGTTTGTGTTGGAGAGGACAATTCTAAGTTGGTAAAACTTGTGTCCAATCCTATTGATTATGTTTCAATAAAATATGTTTAAATACAAATCCTAGAGGATAAGCATTTTCTACATCTACCCGTAGTTTAAAGAAAACAAACAAACGATCAGCTTGTCTTTGTTCAATTGGAATAACTTGTGTCCAATCCCTTAGATTATGTATCAATGAAATATGTTTAAATCAAATATTATTAAGCAATTTTCTAATCGGAGGACCTTAAAACAATATTTAATTAAATAGAATGTTCTTGTTACTAACAATGGTTTTGTTCCTAATTCATCATAAACATGTGGATGTTTTAACTCCCATTATTTTTTTTCAAAATATTAAGTGCATTCATTCCATTTCTTTTGCAGATATATAGCCCCACACTTCTCCATAGTTCATTTATGTATACTCAAAATTTTAAACCATTAATGTTTCATTAATTCCTGATAATCCAAGCAGGGTTGGGATCAATCATTTTCAAATGTAATTACAGTGTACCGATTCCTGATGATTAAGCAGCAAACAGTAATCGATTGATAAGAATAACCCAATTACTGATTAAATACCGGTGGGGCACTTGGAGCTTTAGTTTTATTAGTACCAATAAAGAGCTGGAATGAAGAAGAATCAAGACATGCACAGTCAACAAAGTACATGTGAATGAAATTTACTGAAGGATATGTAGTTTCACGAAGGATATGTAGATTATAAAGCATTTTATTATCATTATATTTACACAGCAGATTGAACAAGGAATCGACAAACAAATAACGGCCGACTACCGACACCGATTAACACATCCGAATAAAAAAAAATTACACAGCACATATCAATTAAACATTGACAAAACATAAATTGTGTACATGTGGAGCGGCCAATTACCGCTTCCGAATGAAACTCACACAGCGCATATAATTTGAACATTGACAAATAATAAATTGTGTACATGTGGAGCGGCCAATTGCCGCCTCCGAATGAAACTCACACAGTACATATCAATAATTATTGAACATCGACAGAAAATAAATTGTGTACATGTGGAGCGGCCAATTACCGCTTCCGAATGAAACTCACACAGCGCATATAATTTGAACATTGACAAAAAATAAATTGTGTACATGTGGAGCGGCCAATTACCGCCTCCGAATGAAACTCACACAGCACATATCAATAATTATTAAACATTGACAAAACATAAATTGTGTACATGTGGAGCGGCCAATTACCGCCTCCGAATGAAACTCACACAGCACATATCAATAATTATTAAACATTGACAAAAAATAAATAGTGTACATGTGGAGCGGCCAATTGCCACCTCCGAATGAAACTCACACAGCACATATCAATAATTATTAAACATTGACAAAACATAAATTGTGTACATGTGGAGCGGCCAATTACCGCCTCCGAATGAAACTCACACAGTACATATCAATAATTATTAAACATTGACAAAACATAAATTGTGTACATGTGGAGCGGCCAATTGCCGCCTCCGAATGAAACTCACACAGTACATATCAATAATTATTGAACATCGACAGAAAAAAAAATTGTGTACATGTGGAGCGGCCAATTACCGCTTCCGAATGAAACTCACACAGCGCATATAATTTGAACATTGACAAAAAATAAATTGTGTACATGTGGAGCGGCCAATTGCCGTCTCCGAATGAAACTCACACAGCACAAATAAATTGAACATTGACAAAAAATAAATTGTGTACATGTGGAGCGGCCAATTGCCGCCTCCGAATGAAACTCACACAGCGCATATAATTTGAACACTGACAAAAAAATAAATTGTGTACATGTGGAGCGGCCAATTACCGCCTCCGAATGAAACTCACACAGCGCATATAATTTGAACACTGACAAAAAATAAATTGTGTACATGTGGAGCGGCCAATTGCCGCCTCCGAATGAAACTCACACAGCGCATATAATTTGAACACTGACAAAAAAATAAATTGTGTACATGTGGAGCGGCCAATTACCGCCTCCGAATGAAACTCACACAGTACATATCAATAATTATTAAACATTGACAAAACATAAATTGTGTACATGTGGAGCGGCCAATTGCCGCCTCCGAATGAAACTCACACAGTACATATCAATAATTATTGAACATCGACAGAAAAAAAATTGTGTACATGTGGAGCGGCCAATTACCGCTTCCGAATGAAACTCACACAGCGCATATAATTTGAACATTGACAAAAAATAAATTGTGTACATGTGGAGCGGCCAATTGCCGCCTCCGAATGAAACTCACACAGCACAAATAAATTGAACATTGACAAAAAATAAATTGTGTACATGTGGAGCGACCAATTGCCGCCTCCGAATGAAACTCACACAGTACATATCAATAATTATTGAACATCGACAGAAAAAAAATTGTGTACATGTGGAGCGGCCAATTACCGCTTCCGAATGAAACTCACACAGCAAAAATAAATTGAACATCGACAGAAAAAAAATTGTGTACATGTGGAGCGGCCAATTGCCGCTTCCGAATGAAACTCACACAGTACATACCAATAATTATTGAACATTGACAGAAAATAAATTGTGTACATGTGGAGCGGCCAATTACCGCCTCCGAATGAAACTCACACAGCACATATAAATTGAACATTGACAAAAAATAAATTGTGTACATGTGGAGCGGCCAATTACCGCCTCCGAATGAAACTCACACAGCACATATCAATAATTATTAAACATTGACAAAACATAAATTGTGTACATGTGGAGCGGCCAATTACCGCCTCCGAATGAAACTCACACAGCGCATATAATTTGAACACTGACAAAAAATAAATTGTGTACATGTGGAGCGGCCAATTGCCGCCTCCGAATGAAACTCGCACAGTACATATCAATAATTATTGAACATCGACAGAAAAAAAAATTGTGTACATGTGGAGCGGCCAATTGCCGCCTCCGAATGAAACTCACACAGCACATATAATTTGAACATTGACAAAAAATAAATTGTGTACATGTGGAGCGGCCAATTGCCGCCTCCGAATGAAACTCACACAGTACATATAAATAATTATTGAACATTGACAAAAAATAAATTGTGTACATGTGGAGCGGCCAATTACCGCCTCCGAATGAAACTCACACAGCGCATATAAATTGAACATTGACAAAAAATAAATTGTGTACATGTGGAGCGGCCAATTACCGCCTCCGAATGAACCTCACACAGCACATATCAATAATTATTAAACATTGACAGAAAATAAATTGTGTACATGTGGAGCGGCCAATTACCGCCTCCGAATGAAACTCACACAGCACATATAAATTGAACATTGACAAAAAATAAATTGTGTACATGTGGAGCGGCCAATTGCCGCCTCCGAATGAAACTCGCACAGTACATATCAATAATTATTGAACATCGACAGAAAAAAAAATTGTGTACATGTGGAGCGGCCAATTGCCGCCTCCGAATGAAACTCACACAGCACATATAATTTGAACATTGACAAAAAATAAATTGTGTACATGTGGAGCGGCCAATTGCCGCCTCCGAATGAAACTCACACAGTACATATAAATAATTATTGAACATTGACAAAAAATAAATTGTGTACATGTGGAGCGGCCAATTACCGCCTCCGAATGAAACTCACACAGCGCATATAAATTGAACATTGACAAAAAATAAATTGTGTACATGTGGAGCGGCCAATTACCGCCTCCGAATGAACCTCACACAGCACATATCAATAATTATTAAACATTGACAGAAAATAAATTGTGTACATGTGGAGCGGCCAATTACCGCCTCCGAATGAAACTCACACAGCACATATAAATTGAACATTGACAAAAAATAAATTGTGTACATGTGGAGCGGCCAATTGCCGCCTCCGAATGAAACTCACACAGTACATATCAATAATTATTGAACATTGACAGAAAATAAATTGTGTACATGTGGAGCGGCCAATTACCGCCTCCGAATGAAACTCGCACAGCACATTAAACATGAAAATAGACGACTATTAAACTAAATAAAAAAGGAAAAATACAGTGCTACCTCTGAAAACAATAACAAATACTCATTAATTCAGTGAGAATAATTTTCAATGACATCACGGATCTTCTTTGGAATGTGTCCAGTCGAAGTTAGCTTAAAACCCTCACTCCAGATGTTAGAAATGTTTACCTTCTCCATCCAGGGCTCTGTTTTCCCCCTTACGCCCTTCACTCGCCTAGTACAGGGGGTCCATGCTGTGGTTCTGGATCCCTTGTACCACTGCAACTGAACAGAATCACATTCAACGGATACAATTCTCCCCAACTGTGGCCATTCCCCAGCATATTTTGGTACATCAGCACAAACAAAATCTCCTGGTGCAATATCCGTAGCTTTCGCTGAAGGTGCACATTTTCCTATGATGACCTATGTTGGGTAAATTGCAAAATATTTATTAAGAAGTTTGACATATGATACCATTTAAAAAAGAAAAAAAAAATGTTAAAATAACTCACTGGTGGAATTTCTGAGTCTTCTTCTAGATCGAAGTTATATACATCAGTTGGTTCAAGTGGTTCTGTTCCTGATAAAATGAAGGAAACATGTATAATATATACATTTCTGTATAATATTGAAACCAAGAGGCCCAAGGGCCATATTGCTCACCTAAGCACTTTGGTTTGAGAAAAGCAATATTCAGTACTATTTTACATATATACATTTTAAAAAGACATTTCCTCTTTAGTGTGTGTATGCTATTTCATAGAAAAAATAATTTCAATTTTTGTGAGATTTTTGGCAAATAATGGAGATTTTACATGAAGTATACATGAAGAAATCAGTAAGTTTCCTATCCTTTTTTATTCATTCAATAAAATCTGTTAAAAACGATTACCCTGTGACATCTGTAATGCATCTACATTAAAAGTAGAAATAATAAAATATCATACTTCTATTTTTTGATTCCAACAGCTCATCTACTAGCCATGTTGAATCCTCTGAAAAGAAAAAAAAAGTTACCCTTAATTATTGTGTGTTCATTGTTTTTTAGAGTTTATATGATCAATTTAATTATATATGCTAAACAATACCTTCTGTGTCATCAAATTGTGAGCTGAAAAAATTCTCCCACCACCTCTTGTCATCCTCTTTTCCGAAAAATCTATAGCTCCCTCGAACGTCTGATTCCAAACGTTCCCGATTTTCTTCTATTTCGGAATAATCTGGTTCAATTACAAGGGGAGACCCAACAACGTTTTCTTTCAGTAAATAATTACTGCTGTCTGTCCACTCCTGTGGAATGACATATACATATACATGTTATTATAATAATGAATACTATTCAGAAAGACTTCAGAAAGTGATTAACTTGTAGATTATGTGAAAAATATATAGCTATTCCACGTACCTTATCAGTCGACCACTTCTTCCAGTAAAGTTTTGCTTTTCCAGTTTCGTCTTGTAGTATTTTGAAAACGTGTGGTTTTGAATGGTTTTTTATGGTGTTTAGGAATGGCGTTATCCATTCCGTTATGTTGTACACTCTGCTCATGAGATAATAAAATAAATTTCAAATTAAAATGCAGTCAAATAAATAAAACATTTAAACATGTATTTAATGACGAAAAATTACATCATTAGGAACAAATAAAATAGCTATCAAAGTTTTAGCGGTATAACCTGGGTTGGAAAAGTTTTATTTTTTTATGAACTGCTGTTTTTATGTATGACCATCATGTTTTAAATTATATAAATGAGAGGTAAAACCGTAACAAGTCTAATCATACTGATTTTATATAACATTCCTGACCTGTTTGTTTTAATACTGTGTGGTCCTGGAGTGTAGCAGGCCTCAAAACCATTCATCAGTTTCATTAATGTCATAGCCGCATGGCGACCTAGCCAATGACTAAATCTGAAAAAGAATTTTAAAAATATCAGTACTGATATTTTGTACATAAATGTATACACTGTATGTATTAATTTTAATTAAATGGTTTATATCCGAACCTTCATTAATTTGTTCGGATTAACGTGGCTCAACTGTATAATTTAATTTTTGAAATTCAGTGTTGTTAATACATTAAGTGATTAATCACACTAATTAGATAAAAATCTTACTTGGAAAAAACCTGATCAATATCTTCGTGAGTATGACCCACCATCAAGAAAGAAATTTTGATTTTTCGAAACAAGCCAATCTCCACAAGATAACACATAAATCCCAATAGATATCTGCAAATATAATAAAAATTGTTATTTTGATGGAAGGTTAATACGTGATGTACCTCAATGTTTCTTTATAATTTATAATATACATGCATATATTTTTATCCACTTCTGATCTGGATAATTTACCTGTTCTTATTTTCCCTGGCACAATTGTCCATTTGTATGTAAAGGGTGTCAGGAAGAGAATCTTTCATGGAGTAGAGCACACTCAGAAGGATGGAAATTGTAAGATTTGTAGAATGACTGCAAATGAATGTAAGAATAGAAAAATAATTTTGTAGAGGACTTTTCTGAGAAATCGTAACGCGATATCTTCTGTGTTTTGTATAGATGATTATTCATTTTTAATCATTTTGTTTGGAGATATGATGTAACTTACCTGTACTGGAATAGGTCGAAGAAACCATATATCCCTATCCCATGAACGATGACACCAATTAAATGTACCCGTAACTTCCACATCGTAGACGTAAACTTGCTGGCATGGACGAAATGGGGTAGGGAAGTCTTGCTTTGATCCATCCCGTCGATAATAAGCGACAAATATTTGTTAGGAAACATTTTGGCCTTCTGTTGGTGCTTATAATATTTCTGTCTCTCTATGCTATAAATATATAAAAATATTAACAACGGAAAGAAGATTTTTTCAAATGAAATTTTGTGAAAGCTTGATCAAATCTTTTAACTTACTTCTGCTTTTTAAGATGATTGTCTCTTTTCTTCTGGAGCATCATTCTTTCTTGTGCATCTCTGGTTTCCCCAAGTTTAATTTTAATCTCTGTGCATACATTACATTTTGAAAATCGGTTGTTCTAAAACAAAGCAAAAAATCAGGAGTTTATATTATTTCAAGAATCAAAAACTACATTTTACATTTTTTATCACAGAATTCATAGTCCTGAAAAAATATCAAACCTTTGGTATGGCTATATATGAAGCTTCACTTCTCCACAAACTAAGGAAGTGGCTCAGTGAAACTGGTGACATAAAATCTCCCTGCGATTCCTCTACCATTAGCTCATATACATGGAGTTTTGTGGAGCAAGGAGGTAAATGAATGTGGTGGCTGTTTGGGAGCTTTTCTCCATAGTTTTGAGCGTAAAGTTTCAACCAAGCAATGGCCTTCATAGATTTTGTCTGGCGCCCCTTCCGTTTGTAACTTGTAACGCTTTTCTGATTCTCTGCAATAAATAAATTTCTCTTGTCGAATTTCCACAAATGCATACAACTACAAAGCCAACTAGTATTAATTGTAACGGGGACCGTTACAGATGTTCCCCAAACGCTCCCCAACTCTCTTTTGGTGTCCTATTCCCAGTAAGCTTTATTAACTATGGCAATCAAGTATGTTGGTCCTTCTACGCATTACACGTGCGCGCACGGGCATGCATGTACATAATGACCATGTCAACTTGTATACACTTTTAATACATCTTTATATTCAGATTGCATCAAAAGATTTAAAAAATTGGCATTATTAAGTATATTTGTCATTTTATGCATTGCACGCGCGCGCACTTGCATGCATGTCCATGATGACCATGTCATCTTTTCTACACTATTAATGTATCTAAATATTTTGAGTATCAAAGCATTTCATCAAAAAGTATAAAAGGTACAGCTATATCTAGTATATTGGTCATTTCAGCATTGCACGCGCGCGCACGTGCGTGCATGTGCATGGTGACCATGTCGTCTCTTCCACACTTTTGATATTTCTTGATATTCTTAGTATCAAGCTTTTCATAAAAAATATGAAAGTTATGGCTATATCAAGTATATTGGTTATTTTACGCATTGCACGCGCGTGCACGTGCAAGAAGACTATGTCTTCTTCTCTAACTTATAAGATCTCTACATATTCTCAATATCAAAACATTTCATTAAAAATACAAAAGATAGGGCTATATTCAATATATAGGTCATTTTATGCGCGCACGTGCATGCATGTGCATGTTCACAATGTCATCTTGTCTACATTTATTATATGTCTATATATTCTGAGTATCAAAGCATTTCATCAAAAGAAATTAAAGTTATGGGTATATCAAGTATATTGGTTATTTTAAACACTGTACGCACGCGCACGTGCAAGCATCTGCAAGAAGACAATGTTGTCTGCACTTACAATATCTCTTCATATATTCAGTAACAAAGCATTTCATCAAAATATTGCAAAAGATACAGCTATATATAACACTTAGGTCATTTTATGCATTGTACGTGCGTGCACGTGCATTCGTGTGCATATTAACAATGTCATCTTGTCTACATTTATGATATGTCTATATATTCTAATTACCAAAGCAATACATCAAAAAATTCAAAATATATGTCTATATTGAATATATGGGTCATTTTATGCAATGCACGTGCGCGCACGTGTATGCATGTGCAAGAAGACTACGTCATCTTGTCTGCATTTATAATATCTCTTCATATACTCAATATCAAAGCATTTCATCAAAAAAATGCAAAAGATACGGCTATATTAAATACATAGGTCATTTTATGCATTGCACGTGCGCGCTCGTGCATGCATATGCGCGCACATGCATGTATGTGCATGTTGAAAATGTCGTCTTGTCTACATTTAAAATATGTCTATATATTCTGAATATCAAAGCATTTTATATAAAAAAAAACAAAAGATACGGCTATAGTGAATATATAGGTCAATTTATGCAATGCACGTGCGCGTACGTGTATGCATGTGCAAGAAGACTACGTCATCTTGTCTGCATTTATGATATCTCTTCATATACTCAATATCAAAGCATTTCATCAAAAAAATGCAAAAGATACGGCTATATTAAATACATAG